CTTGTTCGTTGCCTTTCTGCCTTGTATTGGAAGAGTTTATAAAAATAGCATCCCATAATAACCCAGGAGTTTATTCACATTTTCAGCATGCCCAATTACAAAGTTTTGACTGAGAAAAAACCATACCACTATTCATCACCTCTATGCGTTCGTGGGAAAATTGGACCTGCATTTAACATTAGACGCGCGTTTAACTATATACAGTTGTTTCTTATCGACTTATATGCGTAAGTGTCCTGGGAATCAATGCTATTATCAACACTTCCCAAAACCTCCAGGATGTCTTGTTGCTAAATGCGTCGCACGGGAGATTTATGTAAATCCATAAGATTTCAGTATGGATGCAGTCGTTTCAAAGATAAGATACCTTTCATCAAATTTCCCAACGTTGGAGGAAAGGGAAAACTAAGGTCAGTCCTGAAGAAACAATTCTAAGCTGTTCAGACGGAAAAAAATTAAGTAATTAAAAATTCTTATCTGTATACTGACACATAAAGAGCTTTAAATATTTTGGCATCATTCTAAACCGAAGTTGTCCAGCATATTGCTCGCAAGCCGTAGTCTGGCCCGCCAAAGATTTTAACTCGGCACTGCAATACTATTTGCAATTTTAAGAAGAAAATAAAGTTAGTATAAAATTAAAATTTAAGGTAAAAATGTGCTGATAGAGTATAATCAACTCTTTTTTTTTTTTTTTTTTTTTTTTTTTTTTTTTTTTTTTTTTATTGCAAAAGATCTGTAACCACAAATTTGAGAATTTCAACAAATAGTAAAAATTCTTGAAGGGGTTTACATGTTTAACATGAAAACTTTTCTAGAAAAATATTTCTTCAAGTGTTCTTTATATATTTCTTATGAAACCCACGAAAATATTTGTTTCTAAAGCTTCATGTGTTAAATTTTGAAGTGGCCGTTTTCTTCAAAAGGTGATTCTTTTCTAAACGACCCTGTTTTAAACTCAAAAGTTTCTGAACACTGGTAATTCGGTTCGCGGTTCGAATCCCGGGGAACGGGTTGGCTGCACGGACGTTTTCGCGTTTTTCCCTATGTGTAACGTGTGTTCCAGCCAGTGTGCCTTCGAAAGCCTTCCACGAAGACATCTATCCCTTAGGCAGATAGCTCTCGAGTATTTTGCCATATTCAATTAAACCAAACAAAATAAAACAATCTAAACTCAAAATTTTTGGCTCGCCAAATATATTACGTAAGTAGTAAGCAGAGGTCCTGGTGAGGTCAAAGGATACCGCAATGACGTAATAGAACAATGGATGACGCAACGGGGGCTTTGATGTGCCGCCGCCATCTTGAATCGCGTGACAACCGGAAGTGACGTAGATGGATTGGATGACATAGACGGAATGACGTCATGCATAGTTTCGTTTTTATTCTGTGGCAACGACCCTATTTTTCAAAGTTTTTATTTTTTGTTGGCAACACCAATATTTTTTTATGTTTATGGCAACGAGCTCTTGAACCACGTATTTGGAATGACATAATTTTTATTTATTAATTATTAACACGTGAATAATTATTTTTAATTATTTAGTACGTCATTAATTGTAATTAACTACTCTTTTTAACTAGTATTTTATTTAATTCAGAAGTCAAACAACAAAAATCAGCGTTAATTTACAAAATTTTCACAGGACTAGTTTCGATGGTTTTCGATGGTTTAATAATTTATTTCCATTATTTCCTATCTTGTTCATTTGCGGTTTTGCAGCTGAAGATGATGGTTCGGTAAAACCATCGAAACTAGTCCTGTGAAAATTTTGTAAATTAACGCTGATTTTTGTTGTTTGACTTCTGAATTAGTATTTATTCGGCGTGTTATTGTGTCTTAATTAGTATTTTATTTATTTAGTACGTCATTATATTTAATTATTTACGCTTTTTAATTATTTTATACCAGATTAATTTTAATTACTTTGTACGTCATTATTATAAATTAATTAAGTTAATTAATTAATTTAATTAATTTTTATTGAATTTAATACTATTTTCCCTGAATTTTAAAAATAACCCCCACAGTCTGGATTTGAACCCCACCATCTCTTGCATAGGAGCCTGAGTTTTAACCACAAAGCTATGCTTTATATCTTGGTTCTTGTTATTTGACATCCTCTTTGTCCATTTCATTTTGTCCATTTCAGAGGAAACCGCCATGATGTCACTAGGCTGAAGGCACTAGGCAAGCGCGAAACTGCTTTGACATAAAATTGACATTTATTTCTACAAAAGTGAATTTACATTTTCCTTTTTACTTTTTATTTTGCAAAGGTTTTTTTTTTTTCCAAATTTATTCCTTTTCGTGTTTTTACTTTAATTTTTTTCGGGGGGGGGGGTTTACAAGAGTAATATTTATTTCTACAAATTTAATTTTCCTTTTCGCTTTTTACTTTAAAAAAGTTGTTTTTACATTTTTAACTTAATTTTTGTTTACAAAAATAATATTTTTTTTCACAACTTTAATTTTTTTTCACATTTTTGTTTTCACAAATGCAGTTTTGTTGTTATTTTTTCCCTAATGTATTTTACAGCCAAACGTAAATTTTAATCTTTTTCTTTTCCTTTAAATTTCTTTTTGGTTACATTTTTATTTTACCATTAACTTCTTTCCCTTGTTTTAAATACAACATGACGTTACATTTCCATTTCTCCAAACGTAAACTTACGTACATTTCTGTGTCTACGAAATTTTAAGCTGAAATTTACATGAATATAACTTCACTCTGGTCGGATAATATTTTCTGTAACTTTAAAGCAATGCGTGCAGTGTTCATTCTATATAGTTTAATTGGAATACTACATTTCTTACTTTTTATACGACTAAGTTGGAGGTACTCAGAACATTCTCGTCTAATGTTCAGATCTCGTCTAATGTTTTTCGTCTCAGAACTACAATACTAATATAATATAGTCATTAATATACTCTTGTATACTAACTTTTTGGCCAACTGTACAAAACTTCGCGGATTCTTTTTTACACGTCTTACCTTTATTCAAAGCATTCACCAAACTATGTCTGACAAATGTAAATTTTACACTTTCTATTCATGCATTTCCCCTTAGATTTAAATTTTATCCTGCTTTTAAAACATACTTCATGCTCTATTTCTGATTCCCTTTCCTCCAAAATAAATATAGACTTACACATGTTTCTTTATTGTAAGACCTACTGTCTTTAAACAAATCTTATAAGGAATAATAAATTTTCATAGCATAAAATTACCTCAAACCGATACATGAGTCATTTCTACCCAGTTTAATTTAGATACGTAAAAATAGTACTTCATTTCTTATTATTTTACTCTACGGACATTTATATATATATATTCAGAACACTCAATATAAAAAACTCTATAAAATTCATTTATACTACTAATACAAGTTTTGTTAACGCTTTGTATCTTCGATTTTTTTGCACACATCCTACTTAAATCACCAAACATACACTGGACTTTGATATGAAAACGTCACTCGGAATCTTAATATGATTCCACCATTTACCGCAGAACTTCATAAACACCATTGTATTTGAACTTGTCACAGCCTTACTCTCTTAATAAGATACAGGAGATCGAATTATTTTTAACTACAGAGAAGAATATCCACACTGTATAGCGTATTATTTTAAATTTGAATTATAAGTCACATTTGTCAAGGAGAACTCATAAGAAGAGGAAAAAGTCAATAATGTTCGTTTGGAAACAATTCCTTTTTTGGTGTACTTCTTTCAGATGACTTTTAAATTCCAAAATTTAGAGCACCCATGTGTTTTGAATAAATCTGGACTTTGTATGATTTAGCTTTTTATCAATAAATAATCAGATAGCAATTGTATTAATACATATTTTTGTAATCGATGGGATCTAAATTATGCGGATTAAGTACTGGTGCATATTCAGCTGTTGATCCCCAATCGATCCCTTGATCATCTTTGACCCCTTTTAAAATTTTTCATTTCTTTTAAATTTTTCCATTCCGGGGGGGGTCAATACCAACTTCTTTGGGAACTCCTTCCTGAAACAGATAAAAGCAAATTGATTTTAACCTAATATATTCATTTCCAGAGTTTAGAATAACTGAGTCTAATTTTTTGCAAAACGTACTTAATGCAGGATTCAGGCCAATGCATTTATCTATAGGTTTGATTTTGGTTTGATCTAATTCCTAGAGTGAATCGTAATCTGTCAATTAGTGAGCGATAGGCATCTGCCATTAAGACTTTATAAATTTTATTATCATCAGTTTTTTTTTATATCTCAGTATTTAATGAATTCTTGTTTCTGTCTAAAAGAAACAAATTCATGAATTATAGAAGTTAACCGGTCGAGATCAAATAATAATTACGAATTCTTTTCTTCTCTAACAGCTCTCAGTTACAGCAAAAATAGATAATGGAAATATTCATGTACTGTTCTTAAGGAGTAAGACAAACTTCGAAGTTTAACGGAGTATACAAATGTTGAAACCCAGCTTTGCAGTTCTTTTTAAATGAACTGTGGAGTTATGAATGGAAATAAATTTTAAATACGAAAACTGATGATAATTATTTTTAACTTAAATGTTCACTTCGGAATTATAACTTGATAAATGATTTACGTTGAAATCTGAAAACTTTAAGCTGCTAATTTCCTAATGATGTATTAGTAATGCATTTGCAGCACAAGTTATGGTTGAAATACACTTTATTTCAGAAGATTTCACTCTTTGAGGCAATTTTTAGCTGTTTAGAAAATGAAAACTTTCTAAATAAGCGAAAGAATTTCTTCAAAGATTTCCTTAGATCTAGAAATAGAGTTGAAACAGCGCGTGTCAGAAATTGCGTTTTTTCGCAACTGATGCGAAACTATGCGTCACACGTGAATTGGTTCAAACTGACGATCAACAAATAACTGCGTAAAGATTAGGAATGCCTAGTTTAAGTTGAACTGTTATGCATCTCATCCTTTTAGACGTGACGGTAACAAAGCGAGGGAAAAGTATTCAGTTTTTAATGCTCTGAGAGCTCGAAGGTCCTGTAGCGTGAGAGTAAGCAGAATTTTGTTTTCTCGCAATTTGCATGTAAGCATCTTCTAATGAAAGTTACAAAATTGCAGTTTTGCTGAATAAGCTGAGTTTTATATTTCGGTGAGTAAGTTTTATATTTTAAATTTAGTAACAGGAAAAAAAAAAGATTTTATTTCTAAGTGGTGTATATTGAAGCACAGTATGCCAGTCAGAATGAATTATCACAGTAGATCATAAAAGTCACAATGTTGCTTTTTCTAACCATATTTAAGCCCAACAATATAAGGAATCAGATTATACGGAGTATCTCTCGTGGCTCTGAGATTAACGTGGTACCAAATCTGAGTTCCCCAAACATATGAGCACCAAGAAGCATTTATCTCAATGGCACGAAATTTAGTACATGTACAGGAAAGATATGCTGAAATTTCAGAGGAATTGAATGTTTTATTCGCAAGATACAACTACGTACAGAGAATACGTAAGTAAGGCGAATGCCTACCTCTAGTCTATATGTAAACGGTTACTCGGCTTGGCAATAACACGTAGAGTTGGTGGATGACCTCCTGTGCTATTTCTTGCGAAACTCTGTCCAGTTGTTGAGTTAGACTGGCGACATGCTGGGGCGGTTAGAATTACCTGCTCATCAGAGCCCAAACGTGCTCTTTCGCACAGAAATCTGGCTATCTGGTTGACCAAGTAAATAGTACTTGACACTCACGAAGACATTGTAAATGACTGCCGTATACAACTGGGGACTACCTTGTTGAAATGCAAGCCACGGATGAGTAGAATCGAAGAAGAACACAAGGAAGCGCAGTAATCATAGCGATACTGTCATGCTGTAAGTGTAGTATGGATAACAAACAAAAGGATTCGACTATGAAATAAAATTGCACTCCAAATCCTCGTTGTCATTCTGTCTGGTTGTTCACAGTCAGGTCAGTATGCCACTTCTGTCCTGGCGGCTCCAGAAATATCCTTGCTACTCATCGTCCCTCACTCCAAAGCAAGACTCGCCGAAGACGTTTCTACTCCAACAAGTGAGATTCTTAGGTTCACTGAATCCGATACTAATACAAACGTATTTCTCGGTATCTGCAGGTGAGTATTAGTCCGCACAACTAGGGTTGTGAGAGCAGATCCCATTCTCTGAGTTGCCAATCAATAGTCCTTTTGGTAATTGGTCTCCCAGTTACAAGTTGGATCGTTGAAACTGACAATTCGAGTGCTGCGACGGCCACTCCTGTGATCGCTCTGTTCTCACGTTTTGTCGTTTTCTCTAGATCGGCTGCTGTTGTTTTGACACCTTTAACGAAAATCAACACCACAATAATTAGACACAGTGAGTCTACTATTAGAACATCTGTCTATACTTTCAATATTTATAGAAAAAGAAATAAATTTTATCTACTTGGATTCTGCACATGCTTCTTGACGAATAACAATTTTATTAACACTTGACATCAGCAGCTTCAAAGTTTCCTTGAATTAAAGCAGGAATTCTCTACTAGGATATTATTCAATCAAGAGAAAAAATACAATATATGATTCAATTAATACATTCAATTATAACGTTTATATCACTAAACAAACACGGATCAGAACGTGCATGGCAACGCCGAAAACTGATCCCATCCACAAAAAAGGATACATAAAACAAATTCTCGTGTTCATTCGACAAAGTTATTCATAAAACAAAATCTCCAGGATATGTCCCGAAGTTTATTGACGGCATTACGTAACAACACCCATCATTCGACCATTCCTGGCAAGTTCGTCGGGCATTGCTCTGAACCAGATATCGAAGAATCCGTCGATTTGGCCACCCTTATTTTTTAGGCCGATTGCACGTTCTTTCTCAACTGGTGACATATTTTCACACTGTGTGTGAACCTGTTTGTGAGATATTGGTACAGTCAAAGTGAATAGACGGAATGAACATCGAAAAGAAGTTTTAATCTAAAATTGGAATTTCTTCTCCTTTTTACACCAAATAAGTACTCAGTTTCGATGATCTGTTGTTCCATTCACTGGCCGCAAAAATTTAACGATTTACATATTAGATTGAAAGGTATTCGCATATGAAATTTGATTACAATCAGATAATTCTTTCTTGATGTTTTAAGGGTCTTAGAGGATATGTCAAAAACTAATATCACTTTCCTTACAGTAAGCCTATGGTTCTGAGCATACAGCATATCTGTCAGATCATTAAAGATAAACTTCCCACCATATTACAGCCTAAAACCCAGAAGCGCAAGCTCAGACGGCAGTATTGAAATCTTTCGAATAATTTATAGAGTCATGTCTGGTTTTCATTTTTGAAGTGGCTGTACACTTGCATGTTCTAGCAAATTAAAATGCAAATATATTACTTACTGAATATTATTGACAGTTATGGATCATTTGAGTGGTATATGCAAATGTATAAAATATTATACATCTGCATTTATGTTCGTTACTTGGCGTTACGAGCCGCAGAAAAGCTGACTTCGGCTGTTCGCTTATGTTCGGTTAGACTCGTCATACGTCATCAACCACTCGTTTAAATTTCTTTGTTACTTGTGTTACCAATCCAATTAAAAAAGAAGTCGTAATTTTCTTTAAAAAAATGGAAGGAAATTAACTTATTTTTTAGCAAGTTTCATTAAACTGTACATTGGTATTGCAAGGCTATGCATGCAACACGAGTTTGAGAACAGCTGAGCAGCCGAAGGCAGCATTTCAATTGTCTGGGACTAGAATCCAGTGTGAATGAGTATACATTATTGATCAACAAGCGTATGCGCTAGCGCGTATTTTTATTTTACTATTATTTATTTTATTTTACTATTATTTATTTTACTTTACTATTATTTTATTTTAATAATAGTTATTTTATTTTATTTTACTATTGTTTATTTATTATTTTTACAATTATTTATTTTATGTTACTACTATTTATTTTAATTTATTTATTTTACTATTATTTATTTTATTTTATTATTGTTTTATTGGAACTCTATTCTGCTTGTTTTTTCATTTGTTAATTCTTCTATAGATTTTAACGGTTAAAATGTAGTGATACTTGAAGGCAAACAATCCAGATATTTCTGAAGAGACTAACGATGAATATTTAGAACCACACAGAAAATTTCAAAAGACCGATAAAGAAAGAGGCGCAAAAAAATTTCGTCGTTACAATTCAACTTATTTGTCAACAGACTTTACATGGACTGGCAATACAGAATGTCCTCTGCCGCTGTGTCTCGTTAGTGGTTAAAGCTTTCGAATACAGCAAAAGCTCCAACAAAATTGAACAGAAATTTCATGAAAATCACACAAATATGGAAAATAAAACTGTTGATTATTTTAAAACCCTATTAAAATCTCAATGTAAACAGAGCACAGCTTTTGTAAACGCAATCACAGTTGCTGAAAAGGGTCAGGAAGTAAGTTATTTGGTAATTAAGCTTATTGTACAGAAAAGGAAAAGTCACACAGACGTGAGAACCTGATGATGCCGGCCAGTAAAATTACAGTGGATAAAATTTTGGGAGAGGATGCAGTAAGTAAAATTGAAAATATTCCTTTTTCGAAGAATACGGTAAGTAGACGAAGTAATATTGTATCAGATGACGTTGAAGAGGGTTTGCGTGAGAAACAGAAACATGGAAATTTTTCAATTCAAGTGGACGAGTCAGCAGATTTAATCAAAAAATGTCATGTTTTAGCATTTGTAAGATTTGTTAATTTGAAAGAAATTGAAGAAATCTTTCTCTGTTCTAAAGAATTACTTGAGAGTATAAGGTACTTTTCCCGCCTTCTTAGCATGCCTTCGTGGTGTGGTGCTCTGCACACTGGACGCGTATTCCAGAGGTCCGTGGTTCGATTCCCGGCGAGGGCGTTCCTCATTTTCCATCTCTCGTGCTTCCTAATTACCTAATGGCCCACCAGTGGCCGAGCGGTAAAGACACTGAACACTGGTAGTTTTGCCCAAGGTTCGAATCCCGCAAACGGGCTGGCTGCATGGGCGTTTTCGTGGTTTTCCCAATGTGTAACGTGTATACGAGCCAGTTTCCCTTAGAAAGTCCTCCACGAAGGCATCCCTCCCTTCAGGCAGATAGCCCTCGTGTGCTTTGTCATAACTCAACAATCCAATCCAATCCAATCCAAATTACCTAATGACTCTAGAAGACAAGCAGAGGAATAGATATATTTAATATTTTATCTTGCTATTTTTAGAAGGAAAAAGATCTTTCTTAGAAGCCTTTGTAATGGCATTTGTACGGATGGTTCTGCTTCCATGGCTGGCTCGACAATAGGCTTTGTTACTCTGGTAAAAGACAAAAATATCAACCTTGTTTCGACACACTGTTTTATTCATAGAGATGAGTTGATGTGAAAATCTATTGGTAATGAACTACAAACGTATTAGGTAGAAGTTTTAAAAATCTCTGTGAAAACATGGATAAAATGCTAACAAATCTGTTGTTATGCATTGAAATCAGGTGGTTAAGTAGAGACATAGTTTTTAATCCAGTTTTGAGCTAAGGGAAGAAATGCATGCACATTTTCAATAAAAAGACAAACAAGATTTTACACTACACGCTTTGAAGATCACATACAGGTGCAAATGCTAGTTTATTTAGCAGCTATTTTTCATCTCTTGAATTACCTGAATAAGTTGCTGCAAAGCAACGGGGAAAATATACTAATTTCAAGTAACAAGATTCTTGGATTTAAAAAAAAAAAAAAATTAAGCCCTCGAAAAAGATCATGCTCTAAAAGGATATCTTGATATGTTTGAATTACTCAAGGGACTAAAACGTGAAGATACATACCGCCAAATTTCAAGTTTTATTGTATCTCACCCAGAGGAGCCGTCAAAGAAAAGTGATTATTAATTTCCATCCCTCTCAACAGAACTATATACGATTGAGTGAAGAATCCATTCTCTCGCACTTCCATTGATCCTCAAAATCTAACTTTAAGAGAAAAATTCGTGACTTACAATCAGACGGTTCATTGAAAATGAGGTTAAATGACATGGTTTTGAACAAATTCCGCACTTCCGTTGAAAGTGTGTATCCAACAAGTCATAATTTATTATTTATATGCCTTATTACTTTTATAAC